GGCCCTGGCAGGGATGCACAAGAGCCTGCAAATTCTTTTGCAGCAGTCCATGCACTTACTTACTAGTGCTTGTTTGGAGCCAGGCACCACGCTAAGCCTCATGGACACTACCCAGAACAGGATGGACAAACGCCCTTCCCTCCTGGAACTTATATTTTAGTGAGGATGGTAGAAAGCAAACATCAACAAAATATATAGAGAATATAATGACAGGTAGTGATAAGGTGTGTGGAGGGGTGGGGACAGAAGCAGAAATGGCAGGCAGCTAGAGGGGGAGAACATTTATTTGTTCATTGACTGACTCATTCACACACATCAACTGGCACATAGAAGGCCCTCCATTTTCAAACAAATGACACATTTATTGAGCGCCAGTTGTGTGTGAAAGGCACTCACTTCAGCAGGTGTTGAATATGGCAGGTAGTGTAGAGCAGAGAGAAAGAGATGTCTCACAAGGGACTCGGGGAGGGTTGGTGAGTGTGGGGTTGAGTGACCCTCTGCCCTCCCTTCACTCAGTCACTCAACAAAGTCACCCAGCAGGTTGGTGGCAGAGCGATTTTCCTTCCCCCACCTTGTGTCTTCATCTTTCCTGCCTTCCCTCAGTTTACCTCTTGGTAGAACGAAGGAAACATTTCTCTGCTTTCCCAGAAGACTATGAGCTGGTGCCCCATTTCTTCTTCACTAGCTGACTTCTGCCCACAGGACAGATATCCTTGATCAAGGAGCCTTTTCTCTCCCACAGCCCTTCCGCCCGTTTCACATCTGCACACTCCAGGATTGTAATGATGGTTTCACATCTCATTTCCTTGCTCGACTGTGAGTCCTCCGTGCCTAGAACTACTGTGCAATATCTGCTGAAGGAACAAATGACTTCTCAGAAAACCCCAGGAAGTCAGAGCTGGAAGGAAACTAGTATTTTTTTTTTTTTTAAGTGATGACTTTTCAGGTTATAAAACTTGGAGCATTCATACATTGCAAAATGATGAAGCTGTTATGAAGGATGAGAGGGTGTTCTCTACATACGGGTGTGGAATAACCGCCAAGATAACCTATCTTGTTAAGTGAAAATAAGGTGCTGAATAGAATGTGTGGCATGCTTCCATTTGTCAAGAAATCATATATATGTGTGTATATACACACACACACACACACACACACACACACACACGGTATAATTATATATGTAATCATATATGCTTGTACAGGTCTAGGATATTCCTGGAAGGAGACACAGGAAACTTACAGCGACAGTTGCCTCTAGGGGGCACAGTGGCTGGCGGGATAAGTAGAATAGAGGGGAGAGACTTTCCATTTTTCCTCATTTGGACATCTTCCATATTAAACTTGTGCATGTTTTTATTATTCAAAAAACCTTTTGAATTAAGTATTTTTAAAGTTAAAATAAATACATTTTAAAAATATAATAAATGAAATAAAAAATTAGTTCTCTTCCCCTTACCCTGGGTTCAGCCACTTCTAACTGCTGGGAACGCCTGGACCAATACCCTGGAACCCCACTCACAACAGAAAGCCTCAATCTTGAAGTCTAGTGAGGAGAAAAGGGACCTGGGTGTGCATGTCAGTTCCTATGTGGATTCGCTGTTGACTTTGAAGTCATGGGTCTTCTCTGAGCTCAGTATTCTAATCTGTCAAGTGGATTATTGCAGGGTTCCGAGGGCCAGGGGAGTCATGGTACCAGGAAAATGTGAAGTCTGGACACTGTTGTGATGATGATGATGGTTCCCTGGGGAACTGCATGGCCTTTCTTTCCCCAGATCTGGGACGAGCGGCTGGCCAGGTCTGCTGAGGCCTGGGCCACCCAGTGCATCTGGGCCCATGGGCCCTCACAGCTGATGAGATATGTGGGCCAGAACCTCGCCATCCATTCTGGCCGGTGAGTGACCCTCTGCCCTTCCTTCATTCAGTCATTCAACAAGGTGAATGAGCAGGTTGGTGGCAAAGTGACTTCCCCGCACCCCACCCCCACCCCTGCCCCGTGTCTTCCATCTTCTCTGCCTCCCCAGGTACCGCTCGGTGGTGGATCTCGTGAAGTCTTGGTCTGAGGAGAAGCGGCATTACTTGTTTCCAGCCCCAAAGGACTGCAGCCCACACTGCCCCTGGCGCTGCAGTGGCCCTGTGTGCTCCCACTACACCCAGGTACGCCTTGTCGGGACTAAGGGCTGATGGGAAAACAAATCCTGGTCCCTTATAAGAAAAAGCATGTGGTGGAACAGAAACTGCAAATAAAACAGAGCCCCCACCACCACCACCCCGCCATGGACTTCCTCTTACATAATAAGCATGTTCCTGGAAAGTTGAATTGACATGAACTGGATCTAATTTTGAGTGTCTTAGGTGTGTTGACCAGATTGTTTGACCCCAAAATGAGGATGTATGGTCTGACAAGATCAAGAGTGCTTTTGAATTCAATAGGTCCAAATATTTTCTAGTATTTTCTGTTTTCTAAGGCTCCCATTATCTTGAAAGAAAGAAAGAAAGCAAGAAAGCAAGAAAGCAAGAAAGAAAGAAAGAAAGAAAGAAAGAAAGAAGCCAAAATAAGATCATAAAAATCATGGTATATTTTGAGTATTAATATTGAATATGTTAATGCTTAGCACACATAAAAATACACTGCAAAATGATATTGCAGGAAATAAAACAGGAACTTCTAATTGCATGTCAAATATCTTCTTTTGGTCCTCTTGGTCTCTCTATGACTCATGTGGAGTTAATATCAAAATTCTAAATTCGAGACCCTCTAGGAAATGTAAGGCCAAAACCAAATGCCCTTCCTGACATACCATGAAATATTATTACCTCCATCTTAGAAACTGAGGCACAGAGTGGTTAAGTGACTTGGTCAAAGGCACTCAGCTAGTGATAGTGAGATTCTGATCCAAGGCTACCTAACTCCAAAGTTTGTATTTTAAACTCCAGCACAACAATTTTCAAACAGTGGTCATTAGGAAAAAAAGAAAAGAAAAAAAACCAAACCCTAATTGAGCAGTACAACTAGAGGCCTGATGCACAAAGATTCGTTCAAGAATAGGCCTTCCTTTCCCTGGCTGCTGGCACCGGCTTCCCTCCGGCACCCGGGACCCAGGCCTTCTCTCTGGCTGCCACCTTCCACCTTCACTCTGGGCTGGAGCCACCTTCCGCCTTCGCTATAGCCCTGCCACCCTCCTGTGGCTCCCTCCACCCCCCGCACCACCCTCATAACAGGCGTCCCGCCCCGGCCACTCTACGCCTGCTCCTGCGTGCTGCCCAGAGGCCCGGAGTGGCTGGGGCGGGGCGGAACACCTGCGTAGTTGCCATGACCCAGCTGCCGCCATCTTTGTCGCATCAATTTGCTCTCCTTATTGGCGGTGGGTGCTGCCATCTTTTGTCACGGAGTGACAGTTAATTTGCATATTCCATCTTTATTAGATAGGATATGCTCCCAGTTCCCTCACTTTGGAACAGGCATGCCTCACAATGCACCCACCCTGAAGCAAGTGCAGGAGCCTCCCAGCCCCAAGGAACCTGGGCCCCACTGTATCCTTCTCAGCACTCCTTGTCTGTGTCCTTCCTCAGATGGTGTGGGCATCCTCCAACCGGCTGGGCTGTGCCATCCACACATGTGGCAGCATCAGTGTCTGGGACAGCACTTGGCACCAGGCAGTGTACTTGGTCTGCAATTACGCTATTAAGTAAGTGCAGTGTTGGGACAGAGGGGGATCTGGGGCAGGAAGGTGGATCCTGAGGTGGCCTGGGCAGAATTCAAAGAAAAGGAACCTGCTTTCCTTCATTCTAAGTAACCTCAATGCCATACATTTGGGTAGGTTTAGCGTCCATTAATAATCCTTTTTCTTTACCCAAGTTTCAGAATTTATTGGAAGATAGAGGACTGAGGCAGGTAGACAGGCAGTGACATTGAAGAAGTCAATAGTGGAGAATATGGTTTAGATCTGCCAGCCAAGTGGGCTTGCAAATATCTCACTGTTGAATTAGACCTGCACACCCATTGACAGGCAATACTGGACAACCACAGACCTCTTCCTACAAGGGCAGTGCCAGCCCCTCTAAGCTTACATGCGAAATAAAGCAAACAAAAACACATGCACCCTGTTGGCAGGCAGGCCTCTAAGGAAAGGAAGGAGAATTCGAATGAGCATGTTCAGCTAATCCGACTCTCCCAGACTCTCCAATCAGCGTGGTGGGAGAGAAGACACAAGTGGTCTTCATACCATGGAATATGGAGAAAGGGAAATGGAAGTTTCTTTCCAATGTGTCATATACAAACTTGCAAACATTACAAATTCTTATGGAGACAGAAACAAGAACAAATTCTAAGTAAACACGATATTTGGAATTACAAAATTATATAATGATAACCAACTTTTACTCTCACGTAGCCCTTGATCATTTAAAAAATACTTTTGCCTTATTATCTCACTGAAGAGATGAAAGAGAAAGGAGGAAGGAAGGAAAGAAAAGGGAAGGACACTGAGAAAATATTTTCCCTTCTTACAGGTTAAGAAATTGAGGATCAGAAAGGTTACCAGAAGTCCCAAAGCCAATAAGTAACAGAGCTATTTGAAACACAAGCCTGTTGATTTCAAGTCCTATGTTGGCTCTATTCTACTATCCTGCTGTTCTGGAAGTCATTGGTAGCCTGAACATAAATTCTCTAGCTATTTATTTGCTACTGACAGCGTGTCATATCATAGCTCAGCTTTATTAGACAAGGAAAAATACAACCAAATTTCAATACATACAGCTTATGAAACGCTTCAGTTTGCTTGCTGATATGTCAAATTTTTGCAGCATTGAGTATTAATAGCGTAGTTGTTAAGATTTTTAGACTCTAGAATTAAGACTGTCAGGGTTCCAATTGTAGTTTAGCTTCTCTATGACTGTTTCTTCATCTACAAATGGATGCATATTCTACTTACTAGTATAGGTAAGCTGACCCAGAAACCTCCCCCAGGCTCCTAAGAAACTGAGAATACGTGTTGGTTCTTATTGTCATTACCAGACCTGTGTTTGATTCCCAGCTCTACCATGTACACAGTGAGGACTTTGGCTAAGGCATTTAATTTCTACAGTCAATTTTTTTAAACAGAGCTAATAGTATCTGGCTCTCAGAGAATCATAGTACATTGTTGCCCATAGTACGTGGTAAATAAATGGTGCCCATGATTATGACTAGGTTATAAACTCTCTAAAGGCAGGAAATAGATCTTACTCATTTCTATATCCTTTCATTACAATGATGCCAACCCCCCCCCGCTTTTTTAAGCAGTAGGACTTTTTTCCAAGTGGTTAAATTTTTTTAAAAAAGAAAAAGAACTACTCTGATTCCATCACCCTTGGTGTCTCCATCACCCACTTTCCCTGCCCCTAAATTTCCAAGAGACCTTTTGAAAACTGTATACTACAGCATCTGGCACAAATCCTGATGCCCAATAGATGCTCTGGAAGTGTGAATGAATGAATGAATGAAAGTTCCATATGAAACCAGAAGTGCATACTTTTCTAAGCACTTTGGCTGACTTTACTCATAGTCATTCAATAATTACTTTTGGAGAAAAAAAGATTTTATTTCTTCCCAGAGTGTTCATTTGAAGTATAAGAAAATAAGGCACTGGGATTTGCAAATATAATTAACACTATAGACCAATAGTGACCTTATTAGTCATCCACAAGCAAGAAAGAGCTGGGGAAATGATTTTAGGCCTTGAGAGGAGAAAGAGAGAGAAAAAGAGAAATCTGTGGGCTGGGATGGAGAAGGGAGTTGTGGGAAGATGAGGTGTGTAAGTTGGACCACGTGTTGCTAGAGCAGTCTAGAATGCCTGACCAAAAGAGGTGATGTGACTGTATGCCAGGAGTTGGCCAACTACAGGCTATGACCAAAATCTGGCCTGCTGCCAATTTTTTTAAAATATGTTTTTATTGATTTAAGAGAGAGGAAGGGAGAGGGAGAGAGAGAAAAACATCTATGTGAGAGAGAAACACCAATCAGCTGCCTCCTGCATGCCCCCTACTGTGTATCAAGCCCAACTGGGGCATGTGCCCTATGAATCAAACTGGCTGACCTTATGGTATATGCGAGGATGCTCAGCCAACTGAGTGACACTGGCCAGGGCATGCTGCCTGTTTTTGTAAATAAAGTTTTATTGAAACACAGAGAAGGCATTCATTTAAATATTATCTATGGTGCTTTCATGTGGTAGACACATCTGGTCCACAAAGCCTAAAATATTTACTCTCTGCCCTTCCAAAAAAAATTGCCAATCACTGCATAGGCAATGGGAAACCACTGACAGTTCTTAAACAGGCAAAGGTAGTGTTCGATGTTCCTTTTTTTTAAACCACTATATATACACTCTGACTGGGATATAAAACTGGAAACCTGGGTATGTGCCCTGACTTAGAATCAAACTGGTGACCTTTTGGTGCATGGGTGACACTCAACCAATTGAGCCACACCGGCCAGGGGATTACATTATTAATTTGTAAAAACTGTGGTAAAATATATATATAACATAAAACTTGCTATTTTAGCCATTTTTAAGTGTACAGTTCAGTGGCATATCAGTGGATTTTGTTATATTACATTATTAATTTTTTAAAATATATTTTTAAATTTAAATTATTTTTTATTTATGTTAGAGAGGAAGGAAGAGGGAGAGTGAGAAACATTGATGTGAGAGAGAAACCTTGATTGGTTGCCTCCTGTACACACTCTGACTGGGATATAAAACTGGAAACCTGGGTATGTGCCCTGACTTAGAATCAAACTGGTGACCTTTTGGTGCATGGGTGACACTCAACCAATTGAGCCACACCGGCCAGGGGATTACATTATTAATTTGTAAAAACTGGGGGAAAATATATATATAACATAAAACTTGCTATTTTAGCCATTTTTAAGTGTACAGTTCAGTGGCATTAATTACATTCACAGTGTTGTACAACCACTATTTCCAAAACTTTTTATTCACCCCAAAGAGAAAGTCTGTAACCATTAAGCAATGGCTCCTCATTCCCCTTCCTCCTAAAGGCCGTGGTCAGTTGAAAGGATTAACTCAGGAGCAGGTAGGATAGATTTGGGCTAAGGCCATGGAAGAAATAAATGTCCAGCAGTGGCCATGAGGAGGCTTCATGGGCACATCCCCTATGACTGAATAACACTCATCATCTCATTATTTGAGCCCTTCTTTGCACAGAACTCTTTTTTAAAAAAATGTTTTTATTGATTTCAGCGAGAGAAGGGAAAGGGAGAGAGAGAGATAGAAACCTCAATGATGAGAAAGAATCATTGATTGACTGCCTCCCACGCCCCCTACTGGAGATGGAGCCCGCAACCTGGGCATGTGCCCTGACCAGGAATCAAACCGTGACCTCCTGGTTCATAGGTCGATGCTCAACCACTAAGCCACACCGGCCGGGCTGCACAGAACTCTTACAAGTTACAAAGTGTCTTCACATAATTTTTACAGATACCATTTCATTTATTTATTTTATTCAAAGGACAAAATACAATCTCAAGAAATGAGATGGTTTATTCTGTCACCAGTTGACAGGTGGCAGAATCCAGACCCAGGCCCAGAACTTAGATCTGCCTGAGTTGGGGTAAGGGGTGGTAGAAAGAATAAGAAAACCAACACTTACTGGGGAGTCATCTATTTGCCAGGCATGGTGCTAAGTGCATGCACATGTGGCTGCATTATTTCCTCTTCACGGCATCCCTATGCCAGACAGGGGGAAGTCTTCTCTTCAGATGAAGAAACTGAAGCTTGCAGATGTGACTTGCCCAAGGTCGCACAGCCAGCCAGTGGTGGTGCTGGGATTTGGAAACCCGTGTGAAGGTTATTCACACAACTCTCGTGTCTCTTGACCCCATCTCCCTGGGACCTTTTCTCTTCCAGGGGCAACTGGATCGGCGAGGCTCCATACAAGATGGGGAGGCCATGTTCTGCCTGCCCCCCCAGTTACCAAGGCAACTGCAATAGCAATATGTGCTTCTCTGGGCTCAAATCCAACCGGCTCCTGTGGTTCTAAATTTTTCCTGTGCTCTGGCAGGCCTTTAGTGGGCCTGATCCTCTAAGGGTCCCTCCCTAAGGTGGGTCAAGGACAAAAAATTTTTTGAAGACATGAATTGGACTCCCTCCACTGATCTGAATTCTTCTTCCCGATTGCATTTTCTAAATGTCTAGCATGTGCCAGAAGAAAATGACTGCCTTGCCTTCCTTCTTTAGTCAGTTGCATCTTTCTTTTCTCTGGCCTCCAGGAAGGAGGCCCGCGTCTTTAATTGACTCATTTCTCAGAGAGCCAGGGTCGGAAGGAACAGTGGCAGCAGTTTTGTGACTCTCAGGCCTCAAACTCACCAGTCTTTTGCCATCCAATAAAAGGTATCTATTAAATAACCTTAATCCTGAAACCCACCTTTATTAACCGGTTAATAGCCAACTAGCTTCTGGCTATTAACCAGAAGACCTGTGATCCCCTCCTGGAGTTGGAAACATTTTAGGTCTGAACTTTAAAAAAAAATAATTGAAATTAGCTTGTGAACACCCCACTCCTATTTCATATTACTAGAGCCACCCCAGGGTCCAGGGCCCCCCTTTCACACATGGGCACCTTGAGGCTCAGTGAAGAGGTGTGACTTAGAGCTGCACAGCTTGTCTGCTAAGGCACTCAGGTTGGAGCTCAGGCTCTGGCACCCCAAAGTTTGCCAGGGGTAACTGTCTCTGGATCTATCCTACCCTTCCCCACTTTCAGCCTCTCTGCTTTAATCTTTCCCTTTTATCTACTTGCCAGTTCTGTCCCTATCTGTCTTACTCTGTATTTCTCCTGTAGAATTCTTTCTCATTCCCATTAACCACTTCCCCTTTCCCCACCCAGATACCATTAACACACAAAAGTTCTTTTGTCTCCAGAGATAGTAAAATTTCTTCCTCAGACCTTGCCCTCCAGCTGGGGCCCACACCCTACCTGGCTGGAGAGAGCTTCAAAGACCAGGATGGAAACCAGCTCCTTTCCCTAGGGTCCTTGCATTTCCCCAGGAGTGAATTTTCATCTCTTTTGGTCATTCCCACCTATGCCATAACCTGTGATGTCACCCCTCCATCCCCAATAAAGTCCTTTGAGATTAGATGCCCTGGCTCTTTCTGGTCCCTCTTTCTCTCAGCTCCCAGAAGAGTCGAAGAGGAGAGAAAGGAATTGAGTGAGGAGAAAATCAGCTCAGGAGGAAGACTAGGGGAGGGGCTCACAGCCCCTCAGCCCCTACTTTGCTCCAAGCACATCAGCTAGATCAGTGCCTGAGTGCAATGTTTCTATGGCACTGCTCCATTTCACAGATAGGAAAAATGAGGCTTCGACTGAGTGAAATAAGAGAAACAAGGGCACTGTTGTGAGTCCATTATTCTCAGATTATAATCTTCCTACTTTATTTGGGGTGTGGATATTAAAATGTTCCTTCATTTATAATGTAATTGTGATAATAAATGTTAGGTTTTTAATAAAATGATTAATGTCCTTACATTGGGAGGAGAAAAAGGCTTGCCAACCCTATGTCAATTTCCCAAATGTTCTGGAAATGTAAGTGGCAACCTGAATCAAATAGTATATGTGAGGTCACATAGCTAGTAAAGAGCAGACATGGGATTCGTCTGCTCTTATATCTCCCTTGACCTCAGTATTCTGGCTTGTTTCTGTTCCACCTTGCAAACCTCTGTAGTATATTATACTTTTTGAAGATTTCCACACCCCAATCTCATTTGATTACTCATTTGTTCATACATTCACCAACCAAGAAGGTTATGAGCATACGCTCTGGAGCCAGACTGCCTTGGTACAGGTTTAACCCAGTGGCTGGCTGTGCTTGGGTAAGTTACTGTGAGCTCTCAGTCTCATCTGAAAATGAGGACACTAATGGAATCTGCCTCATGAGGTCATCCAAACCATTAAGTGAATGTATACATGGAAACCACTTAAAACAGTGCCTTGCTCATAGTAAGTGCTATAAAACTATCAGCTCTGAGAACAGTGGCCATTAATATAGATCAGGGCTGGGCAGAATATGGCCCATAAGCCAAATCCAGCTTTCTGCCTGTTTTTCTCAATAAAGTTTTATTGGAACACAGCCATGCTCATTTGTTTATATGTGTTTTATAGCAGCTTTCAGGTTTCCACAGCAAACATGAGTAGTTGCAAAAAACTGCCTGTATCACAAAGCCTAAAATATTTACTAATTAGCCCTTTACAGAAACATTGTCAACCCCTGAGATCTGTAGTGTTCCTATATTCCTGGAGCTTGTAATTCTAGAGGGACAGTTAGGCATTAAACAGAAGATGAATACAAATATCCTATATAATAAAGAGCTAATATGCTAATTAGACCAAACAGCAGAATGACTGTCTGAATGACCTTCCAGATGAAGCCGAGGCTGTGAGGGCCAAGCCCCTTGCATGAATTCCGTGCATCAGGCCTCTAGTACTATTACAATAGCAGGAAGTGCTACCTGGAAGAAGAACGGGGAATTGCAAGAGTGTGTTCTAAACTATAATGGGTAGTCATGGGAGTCTTCCTGCAGAAGGATGTTTTTTGGCGAAGAAGAGAAGCTGGTCAGGCTCTGAGGCAGTGATGACAATGTGGATGGGAAGCTGGGGGAGAGAGCACATGGCAATATCAAGGATTAAAGAAGACCTGCTGGGTGTTGAGGGAAAGGGAGTGAGATGATCCTGGTAAGGAAGGCAGGGGCCAAATCAGGAACACCCTTGGAGCTTTACTTGAGGAAAATGGGGAGGCTGGATCTCCAGCAAAATTCTAATAGTGGAACGACATGTCAGATTTGCATTTGAAAAGATAATCCTGGCTATATTAATGGGGAAAAGATTTCATGAGCATAAGAGTGGGAACTGAGGTGGGAGGTAGGGGCATTTTGGTAATCCAGGTGAGAAATGAAGGTGGCTTGAATCAAGGTAGTGGCATTAGAAACAAAGAGAAGTGGATATGTTTTTGAGATGTTTAAGAAGTGGGATTTGAGGGAACTTTGTAACGTTGGGTATAAAGGAATGAGAGTAGATGAGTGCACCATTTTATCAAGATGAAAAGTATAGGGGAGGAATTTTGATGGTAGCAAAGAAAAATTAGGGGCATATTATACTTGAGATGTCTGTGAAACATATAAGTAGAGGTATCTAGGAGGTAATAGTAGGAATCTGGACTCCAGAGAAGAAATTTATGTTGAAGATACAGAATTGGGAGGCACGGGTATAAGGTGTATGGGTGGCCATAAAACCATAGGAATGAATGAGATTATGGGAAGAGAGATAATAGAGTAAGGAGGAAAAAAACCCCCAGTAAATCTAGAACTAAACCCTGAGTAATTCCAGTATTTAAGGACAGGTAGAAAAACATGACCTGTCAAGAGATAAAGAGGAAAAGGAACAAAAGACTATTGTAGAATGGATGCTAAGGGAAGAGGTTATTAAAAGGAGGAGTGGTTAACTGTCAGATCCTGCTGGGGGTCTAGCAAAGTATCCATTGAATATTTAGACATGGAGCCATTCTAACTTGCCAGTGAAGACTGAGTGGTGTGTATGGAGGAGGGTGGGAGGCTATGCTAT